GAAATAGAAAATAAGTTTTTAAATATTTTGTTTCAACACTGGAAAAAAATCACATTGGATCTAGAGTCCAGACTCTTAAAAACATTGACAAGAAAAAATACTCTTGATTCAATCAGATTTAAGCTTAAATCAAGAACCAAGCCTCTTAATTTGAGCGATTACCTTTTGATTTAAGCTTAAATCTGATTGAATCAAGAGTTCTTTTTCTTGTCAATGTTTTCAAGAGTCTGGGCTCTAGATTTAATGTGTTTTTTCCAGTGAATGACATCTTTTACTTTAAGAGATATACACATACTTGTGTTCAACGAAGTAAACTCTCAAAGTGCTATCGAGCAAAAGAGCGGTATTGGCATACCTAATGTATTTAACAACCCTTTAAAAAGACTTATTTGCTGGGCGTTAGACGTCTTTTACAGTGGTGAGGCGCGAAGGATCGGTTATCGAGTTTCTCCCATTTGAGGCTACGGTAAAGAATCGATTATTAGGGTGTTCGCTGCGAATACTCTGTACATAAATCGTTTTCTATAAGATTAAACGGCATCAAAATCGATACATCGCAAAGTACGCTACGCTACTGGTCTCTTATCAAACAGATCAATGAGCCATGCATTGAAAATGTGACTCAATTAAAAAATTCAAAACAAAACATGGATTGCGATCCGATATGCGCCTATAGTTCGCTTCAATTAGAGAGCCTCATTTCAAAAGACTAGGGTATACTTATAGATGATCTGTTTTTGCGTTCTGACGAAAACGAGGAAAATGTAGAGAGAGAAGCTCCGATGATTCAAGGAGAAAATCGCTAGCATAAGCTGAAAGTAAATGTTCGCGCACGGATTTCGAAGAGTGGTGCGGTTACAAAAGATGAGACTGATGTCATAAGCCAACGGATTCTGAATAAGCGCTTCTCGAGAAACGAATTTTATTTACGGATCAAGTTGATCGCCTGGGTCCGATTTTTTGGTTCCTTAGCTAATAAGTCTGATGATGCTAGCCATGTCTCCTCAAACTAGCCCCCCCCCCCCCCCCCCCGGTGTATCCTCTGCTCCTACCCGACTGGTATGAATTTATGAGCCGGGAGTACAAACTGAAATTTGCAGTAAAAACCATGATTTTCTCCTTCAGGTCCCCTTACCCTACCCTATCTTCAAAGGAGTTAGTCAGGCGACCTTGACTAGAAACCCTTTATACCTAGAGTAGCGCCATATGGTATCCATTTCTGAATGGCTCCCCATCTTAAGCTTAGCGTCACAAACGGGGAGAAAGAATACAGAAACTTGGACGCATTAGATATATCACTATGGGCGCAATAGAGTCCTTTTAAACTAAGAGTAAAGACAATGCGAATCCATTTCCGATTGGTTCCCGTATATTTTGTGCTGGTTACACGCTCAAATTTCTATCAATTTCCGGTGACTGTTGCGCACCATCTACCATCAAATTTCTGCGGCCTGCAAAAATTTGATGGTAGATGATGGAGCTGTGGGGGGTGTGGGGCTCATCCTTCATCTGATTTCCACACAGCCGTGCTTATTTCATGCTTATTTCAATCAACACGCTGTTTCAATTAATTTTACTCATCGATCTAGATAACTCTCGACCGCCATCTTGGTCATCATTTTGATCGGAATTTGACGGAAATTTGGGCCTTCACAGTGTCACAAAGATTATAAACTGGAATGGACCGGGGAATCAGGTGTACGGCATGGAACAAATGGAATGAGAGAGGGGGCGGAGATAGAAATTCGGCAATGGGTTGATCAAAGATTACATAAAACGTCCGATTTGTGTAGTATATAAATACTACACACACAACGGGACTACACTGTCACAAACGGGAATAATCCCGTTGTGACATCCATAGGCCGCGTTGCCTCAACTCTCTCTATAAAGGGGCCACAGGGCGCAAAGGGCGCGAGTCAGAAACAAAGTTACGTGTTTGTTTACATTCGAACCATCATGACGTAGCCACTAAATCAGTCTGATGGCGCGGAGTCCCCGATGTCCGATGTATATAGCCTTCGGGCGGCGACTCACCGGTGCAACGAGAGGCGCGTTCTAGAAGGGTCCCGAAGGCAGCGAGGATTTTGAACTTTAACCGGGCACCTCCGGAAGGTCGGCCCGGAAGATCCGGGCGCCGGAACCGGGGCTAATCGAGGGGGGCCCGGCAAGGACACGGCCAAGGCCAGGCGGCGACCTCGCGGACCCCGCGCCGAGGGGATCGACGGGTAGACGCCGCTGCAGACAAATTGAACCGCTCTTGAAAGGAAATTAACACTGAACTTGATGGTTGAAACAAAACAACGCCGCCACTCATCCCATAATTTCATATCAGGGCTTGACACCTAGCCACCGTCAAGGCCCGCCTCACACGGAACGGCGGCTCCCTTCTTCCACTCCTCTGTCACCTCGTTATAGGATCTCCTCCAAGACCTCTACGACGGTTCTTCCCAGCCTGGGTACAGTGAGAGTATTGTGCTGCCGTACCATGGGAAAACGTCCTATGAACATTTGGACGTTGCCAAATCTCCTCAATGGAAACAGTTTACGGGCTATATAGACATACCGTTCATTCCGGGTTAGGAGGCCGAAACTTCTGGGTGCTGAAGCCGTGGCTTCGACTGCTCCGGGTGCTACGCCCGGAAGTTTCGGCCTCTGAGCCCGGAACGCGGACGGTATGTCTCTACAACCCGTAAGTACGGCTTCCACGGCCGGAGTTTTTTTTTTGCAGGGCTCTGATCAAATGGACGTATTTCTATCAAACGGAACTATGTGCATTAAGACATGAGCCTTGAGACACATAAGAATATGTGCATAACAGGGCTCACGTCATATTGCACATAGTTCCGTTTGATAGAAATACGTCCAAATATGCGTTTCTGGCAAACTAGGGGGCTACCTACGTCTCCTGACCGCTTCACGGTCCAACTTCCGGAAGCGATTCGTGCCTCAGGCTTCATACGTCACGCGTTCCTCTTAATATTTTATATTACGGGTGGAGTAAGAAGAGTAAAACTAATGGACTGTCACGGGCGGAACCAGGAAAAGGGCACCTTCAAAGGAGGGGGGGAGGGTTAGGGGGCAGAGAAAGTCGCTCTGCTGAAAGGGGTTTAAAGAACGCCAAAACAGGGGGTTGAGGAGGTATCCCCGGGATAACTTTGCAAAAAACGAGTCGTCTTAAAAGCAATTGATTGAGAGTGCTTCTATTAGCAGGGTGTCTACTAAAGCAGGCTGGTTAAAAATAAGTACTTTTGCAGTACTTTTGCAGTACATTCTCAAGATGTTCAGCGCTTCCTCTGACAGAAAAATTCCGTACTTTTTCAGTACCTCCATTTGATGAAATTCGAAAAATTTAAAAAAATTGAAATTGCGTCAAAAATGACACAAATTTTTAAAAATTCCGGACCTTTTTGCGGAATTTCCGCACTCTTTCAGTACTTCCGGACCGCCCTTAAAAAATCAGTACTATTTCCGGACTTGTAGACACCCTGATTAGAGATGATCGACACACAATTTCAAACATTACAGATATGCAGCCCGGTATCATCGCAAGATATTTGGCAAAATTTGAATGTACAAGCAGCGTTCTTCCTCAGCAAGGCAGTATGGGGTGGGGGAAGGAGAGGGGTGGAGTGAATTATTTGCATCAATGGAGGTCTTCCATACGGTTGGGTTCGCGATGTAAGTTATGAATGAACACGCGTGGAACAACTTTGCCGATTTGCCTGTCGTTAACACCTACCTAGGGTAAGCTTTGATCGGACGAAGCATACCTGCAACAAATGAATCTCAACCATCTACAGTACTCAAAATCAACGATGGCGACAGTATTTCTACAGCGGTCACGCGATTGTGCGTTTCTTCTTGGTGCATCCTTAAAAATTGGAATTTTATAGGAGTGGACGGCTAAAAACGGCAACAAACGGCCAGCTTTTGAGTCGTTGGTTTGTTGCCACTCCCAGAGATTTCGCACATTCCTTGGAGTCCGAATGGATGACGCAACAGTTACTTCCGTATCGTGGGTTGAACGGCTTGTCTCTGACAGCGAGGGCATCTTCGCTTGAACGACGACTGTCACGTTCAGCAGTTTGCTCACACTTTAAAAAAAAAGAACTGCTGAGCCGGGAGAAATGGATTACTTTTTTCAATCAGGAATCACTATTTCTGGCTCATTTTAGAAACAACGTATACACTATTGGTTTCCCTATGCAAATAAGTGCTTTTATGAGAGAGCCAGAGATGGTGGCTCATTACTGCAAAATTTAATCAAAATATTCTTCGTCACAGGGGTAAGGTTCAAAAATTCAATGGACCACTAGACAAGGTACGAATTTAAGCAATCTGATACATGTTTCTTTACCAGAATTTCACGTAGAACACGATTCGCGCAACGAAAATTACTGAAACTAACTCCTTACAAAGATATTAACGTTTTTATTTCACATTGGTTACGAGGAATTTGAACTGTCCGCTCACAAGAAACTCAAAGCTCTACTTGAGTCAAATCGCGCACTACAACAGTTTCAGCAAGCTTCTCAATTTAGCATTGTTCATTTCCCACCATGTGTTGTTCAAACTATTAGCAATTTGCTATAACTGAACCAAAGCGTCAAGATTGAGGTTGCCAGATTTTTAGATCGCAGAGACTGTCATGATAACGTTCAGCGCGCGATGTGAATCACGTAGAGCATTGAGTTTTCATGAGCGGGTGGTTTGAATTCACGCATCAAGAATAATTAAATATCTTCGTAAGGAGTTAATGTCGGTAATTTTCGTTGTGTGCATCGTGTTTTACGAAAAATGTTGGTTAAGAAACATGTATCAGAATGCTGAAATTCGTACCTTATCTAGTGGTCCATTGTGACTAGAAAAATTTGAATAAACGCTCGGTAACACATATTTCGATGTAACGTAATATGTACCAATTAACGTACCCATACAAAATTCATATGGAAATTATGATTACAAAATCTTTAACACAAACGAAAGTTGGCGCTTACCTAGAATATATTTTGAGCCAAGTTTCTGGAGGTTTCTGAACTGGTAGTAGCTGTACAGAACCGCGACAACTCTAATTAATGTCATCACGATGACATCCGCGGCATTCATTTCCTAGAAGAGAAAACAATAAGGAGTTATTATTACCGACATTCAGAATTCAGATTTCAGAAATTTCTGATGAGCTATAATCGCATCGGTTCGGGCGATATGGCTCGGGGCAAAGCTCCGAGCGAAATAATAAAAAACCTGCAATCAGGCTGAAGCTGAAATGCACATTGTTGAACCTGCAACTGTTTGATAAGTAGGTCACTCGTGCAATTATGCATTATTAAAGCATCGCACACTTACATTGATACATGAAATGTTACTTTTATCTATTTTGCTAGGGAATGACCATGCTTTCATTCACAACCTTTGACTCTATACTTTACGCTCCACTCTACGGAGCTGAAAAAAAATTTCCTTTAAGGTCACTGAGTTTGAAGACGTGTTGATGCAGCAATTTTGGCATATTTTTATGCTTTCGAGAACAGAATGTATGATTAGTATCGCATGCACGATTCCTGCCGTGCTAAGGAAAAACGCGGTACAAGCCTTCAGATGTTGCCAAATTTACTTGGACAAATCACACATTTTCGGGAAAATTCGTAAATATTTTCATTTCGATTTTTGAGAGAATTTTTTTCGTAATTTGATCTGAAGTGTCTGAAAATTTTAAGGAAAAATATTCATAACTTTCCTCGAAAGTAAATATTTTCTTGGAGGAAATGTGACAACATTGGAGAGCTCATACGGCCTTTTTCGTTGGCATGACGGACTAGCTCTACTATTTTTCCCGGCTTCCGACTATTTTTCTGAGTAATGTCTACTTCATGTGCTCAGCTGTGTCATAGGTTAAACTTCAAATTGCATATCTACGATGAGTTACCAACATAACGAAGTCTGGTGGAGTAACGCGACTGATCATATTTTTAAAAACTTGCTTACTTTTCTTCTGCCACCGCACCTTTTTCTCTCTCTCTATGCAGTACTGCCACCTCGTAAAAATTGCCACTATTCCAGATAATCTGTAATAGACTCCTTTCCCTTCTACCACACAGTCCATAGCTGTAATCTTGTCTTTTTTAAGAATTGCCTGGATAACTGCATAATTTTATTATTATTTAAGACAAAATGTAAAACGACCATTTTTACAGGTCTGAAAATACTCCTGCATTATATGTTAAAATGTATTAAAAAAAAGAAGAAGAAAAAAAAATGCCACTATTCAAGATAATCTGTAATAGACTCCTTTCCCTTCTACCACACAATCCATTGCTGCAATCATTGTCTTTTTTAAGAAAAGCCTGGATGACTGCATAATTTTATTAGTATTATTTAAGACAATGTGTAAAAAGACCGTTTTTACAGGTCTAAATATACTAGATACTTTTATGTTAGAATGTATCTTTTTTTTTAAAAAAAAATAAGAAAAAAAAAACTGATCAAGATGCGTGATCCGAAATAGAAAGTTCTCACTGTTTCTGGGAGCTGATTGACCTTCCTTTCTACCATTGGCGCCTAATAAACAAAAAAATCTACAAAACTGAGAGAGAGTCGCGTCGCAGAGAGAAGATGGATACATGGAAGCGGCGCTATGGCTCCGGGACATGCACTCCGAATGGAGCTGATAGTGAGTTTCGGATCGAGTTGACAGGAGGACAGGAGTATATTATAGTATAGATGGATAATTGAGAGATACGAACCTCGGAGATGTTAGCCGGTCGGACGGGTTTCGAGTCGACGGCTAACATGCAGGCGGTCAAGGTAAGGGTAGCGACAATCACCTCCCATGGGTGGGAGGCACAGAACTCCCCGTGCCTCCAGAAGTAATCGGCCGCCATCGTCCTTTTTGTCACCTGCAACAGAAAAAAAACAATTACGTTTAAAACACATAAAATATATATGTATGTTCCCCTGACGTGTATGTGTCAGAGGCAAATAGTAAAAGCAAGCATTTTGTCAAGTGCCTAGGATTCCTGGCCAGGTGACCTGAGTTTGATGGTCTCAGAAAGCCAATGAAGGCTATTTGAAACTTGTGGGGGAAAAAAAAAAAAAAAAAAAAAAAAAAAATTAGTCAAATGCCTACACAAATAGTCAAATGCCTACACAAATAGTCAAATGCCTGGGCAAATAGTCAAATGCCTGGGCAAATAGTCAAATGCCTAGGCAAATAGTTAAATGCTTAGGCAAGTAGTAAAATATTCTTACTTAGATTGAAATTTTGATTTTTCACCCTAATTTTAGACAAAATAATTCGCTGCTCCTGTAAGAAAGAATTCTCTGTAAAAATATGCAGCATAAAATGGTATTTAGAACGATTGTAAGATCCTGAATCCACATTTCTCATGCAATTTTCAGCACGTCATGAAACATAGAATTTTTGAAATTTCAACATTTAAAGGTACTAAAGGCGTGCAAAAAGGAAGGAAGAAGGATAGTTCGCGGATTCGAAGAGTTGTTCTTCCCAAATAATTGAAAATCTGTGAACTCCTTGCCATAAATTTACAGAATTCCGTAAACTGATTCCTTATTGCAAAATGTAATCCATACATTAGTGACGTAACCAGAGAGGTCCAGGGAGTCTAAATCTCCCCCATCTTCCAAACGAAGAAACAAAAAACGTGCGAAGTCAGAACGAAGGAAAATGTACAACATGCATTCTCGCAAAAGCTCCTAAATCCGAAAAACGCTACGTTGCTCCACGAATCTGAAACCGGCTGACAAAAATCGACCCTATTTATTTACATATTCGAATTTTATATTACTTTAATTTGGCAGCTTCACCGGGCTTCGGCCCGGGTTGCTTCAAGTGTGATTATTTTGCATTTCTAATTCTGTTCGATAAACATTTCACACGACACATTTGACGGAGGGAGTCTGCACGGTGTTACGTAAACTTATTTGGAGGATCGCAGGGGGAACTCCGTGGGAAAGAGTGCGAACCAAAAATCAACGACAGTGCGTTACGTAACGCATGACGTCGTGACGTCAACCGGGTGAAAAGTATAAATAGAGAATAGAAATCTGAACGGAACTCGCTGCAATGACTTCATGCAGAGCATCACGAAGCATCTGTGGCTCAACTCTCCGTGACATTTAAGTTCATATCAGTGGCGTGGCGTGCTTTGCGATATATCGACTGATCTGTCATTCAAACCTATGGAAAAGATCGATGAACAGCATTTTGGCAACACCAGAGTCCCTCCATTTATACCTATGCTAGATAATCGAGTCTTATCGGAGCACCTGGTCCCTCTAAAAATCGATACATTTCCATAAGTTTAAATTCAGAAAAACAATGTTGCCAATTTGCTGTATCCGCCAGTGTTCGCAACGAACACCTTAATTATCTTCAAATCGGGAAATATCGATCATTCACGTCTCGTCACCGACAACACTGGAAAAAAAAACACATTGGATCTAGAGTCCAGACTTTTGAAAACATTGACAAGAAAAAAGACTCTTGATTCAATCAGATTTAAGCTTAAATCAAAAGGAAATCCGCTCAAATTGAGAGGCTTGGTTCTTGATTTAAGCTTAATTAAATCTGATTGAATCGAGAGTATTTTTTCTTGTCGATGTTTTTAAGAGTCTGGACTCCAGATCCAATGTGTTTTTTTCCCAGTGAACCAGAGGCAAATCCAGCATTTTGGCAACACCAGAGTCCCTCCATTTATACGTATGCTAAATAATCGATTCTTGTCGGAGCACCTGGCCCCTCTAAGAATCGATACATTTCCATAGGTTTAAATGAAGAAAAACAATGTTGCCGATTTGCTGTATCCGCCAATGTTCGCAATGAACACCTTAATAATCTTCAAATGGGAAAAGATTGATAATCGGTCATTCACGCCTCCCACTGGTTCATGTATATTTATTTTTGCGAATGTCTAATGGAAGAGGACTCCAATTTTAAAAATACTGAAAGCAGCATGTTGAGAGGCCACGCAACTACGGATGAGCGAAAGCTGGAAAGCTGTAAGTTTTGACATTTATTCAGAGCAGGCTTCTTGAATCGTCGTAAAAAATGGGTCAGCTTTACGAGTCAGAAAATCGTGTTTTATGGTAAGATAGTCGATTGCGAGCAATTGCGGTTCGACGCACGGGTCGTTTAGACACCGAGATGGTGATTTTGTCATCGTGTGCAGAATGTCGATGGATCGTAATCAATAGTGGTTCGTTGTATCATTTGGTTCAAAACAATAGACCATAATCCCAAACAAAAATTTTAGGATCCAAGTTAGAAAAGCTGAAAAAGAGGGAATTCTCAATTTTCATTGCCATGAAGTACTAATGTCTATCACGAAAACCAGTTCCCAAATACTACTCAATTGACTTTTGAGGCCACGTTGACACATTCAACCAATCTATATCGATACTATCTCAGCGATAGAACACCTGTTAGATGTATCGAATACGATCCATTTAGAACTTAAATTTTCATTTTCAGGGGAAAACTTTTCCTGAGAAAAATCGCGTATCTGTATTTGCGGTGTTTCAAAATATTCTCTCCTGTTTTAATTTTTGGGAGGGAAACAAACCAACTGTACGGGTTGAAATCTATACGGAATATTCTGCTGACAGAAAAGAAAAACAAAGAAATTTTCAAGATATAACGTCGAAGTTTTCCAGGAAAAAATAAAGGACAGGAAATCTGCAACGTCGTAAACGGAGATACGTGGTATCGCATTTCGGCCACCGATATGGTGTTTGGTGTAACACTATCATGAGCATCTCAGTTTGATACTGAATTTTAGCGCATGACGACAAAATCATCATCTCTATTTGTAAGGGACAATTGGACTGCAATTGGGAACTACAATTTCTAGCTCATCCGTAAAAACACTTATGTAGACAGGAAATCTTATGGTGCGCATAATACGTTGTTTCTAAACTGAGCCAGAAATTTTCATTCCGAATCGCAAAATGGAGTCCAGTTAGTATTTGCTAATTTCGTTCACTCCAGTGACATTGATACAAACAGCATATTTTAATGTTGCGAATCACATACCACGGTATCTTTGAGATTCTTAAATTATCTCATTTCCCCGATTAACCTTGGTATTAGTGAATTCTTTTAAGAAGGAATCTAGAATTTTTCTCGGAAAGCAGAACAAAAATGTTTGGACTTTGCGGTCTGATAAAGAGTGTGTGTGCGCCGGGGCTTTAACATAGCTTTGACCTCAAGCAACTATTCTAACTCTGGTGTGGTCAAATTGCATACCCAATGGAATGAAGGGACTTCGAACGAGCCCCAAGATTTGATATCTGCGGGTATTCGATACCTTGTCGCGGTTGTTGCCGTAAGATGTTTCGACCTCGAGCAACTATTTTAACTCTCCGGGAATGAAATTGCATAACCATTGAAATGAAGGAACTTACGAGAGTTCATAGTAATTTATCGCTTGGCAGTATTAGTCTCGGTAAAAGTACGCCCCTCGCCATGGCAATGGCTCTGTTACGAACTACTTAAGTTGCACTTTGTAGAAAATAGCTCAGAATTCACAATGAGCAAATAAGGCACGTCTAGTATTTACTCCTAATTCCACATTTTGAGTTATAAATTTACGAAATTTTGAGTTTCTCACTTCAAGAAATATATTTGGCAAGGGCACAAAGTGATACAGATTAATTACCCCATACAAAGCTAATATCGGTAACTTCACGATTTCTCCCTGTCACTTTTGTCATTTTCCCCGACGTTTCCAGGTTTTCCCTGACTTTTTAAAATTACCTGGTGATTCCCGGTTTTTCCTGCCTGAGGCAATCCTGCACGGAAAAAAAGTCAGGGGTTATCCCCTAAAATTGTGGTACTACCCCAATTTGTTGAATGATATGGACATTTCTAATTAATTGTATTAGTACCGCAATTCAAGTTAGGGTAGTACCGCAACATTTGGGTTACTTACCTAATTTATTGGGGTACTGCCATAATTAATTTGGGTAGTACCACAATTAATTGGAAATGTTCCTATCATTTAACAACTTTGTGCTTTTTTCCCGTGTGATATACAATCAATTGCTGAGCCAATTCTTGCCGGATACACTGCACGCCAACTTCGACGACTTCAAACCATTTATTCAGTGTAGAAAGGGTCGCGTTGTTTTCTTGCAGATAGCCTAAACTTTACTACAGGATAAAACCTTGAAAATAAACCGAGACCGTCTGTCGATGTGGTTGTCCGGAACGGTCCAAAAAAATTCATCAATCGCTAATTAATTCCCTCTTTTTTTACACCGCGAGAGCTGGTACCGATGAGCATTACGATAAGAAAAGTAACAAAGAATTCTTGTAGTACGTCGCGAGAGGGTCTCAATGAAACGGGCGTTTTGCATAAATGCTGTCCCACCCACGTGAATCACGAAAGAGTTCCATTCTCATGCCCGGAAGCTTCGACAGGTTTACCCTTCGCAGGACACCGCGAGCTTTCACGAATGGTTATCCTCTGTTTTTCGTTTTTCCTATTTCATGAACAACGAGATCGATAGATTCGGAGTTCGGTGACCGTTACTCTCGAATTGACGGTCGTTGAGTCTTCCGTTTCAGAAACCTTCTTCCCGGATAACGCGTTGCATTTTAAGTATATTGAAAAATTCATCAAGGAGCGTCTGTTTAGTTTTGTTGTGTCTTTTAATTAGAAAAAAAAAAAAACGAAATTGTAGACGTTTCTTGGCTCAACACTTTTTTTTTCCTGTAAAAAGGTTCATTTACCTGAGTACTTTGATT